GGTTTTTATTTTAAAAATGGAGGGATGTTGACATTTATGGACCATGGGATGAATAAAAAAAACGGATAATAAAAATCTAAAAAGACAATAATTATGAACAGAGGGTAAGATGAAAGAGGACATTTTTTAGAATAAAAAATCCCTTTATTTTGCCATAATGGGGAAATTAACACAATCCAAAATTAGAACAGGGAATTTTAAAGCTCTAAAATTTGTCCTTAAATATTATATATTTTTTCTTTATCAAGTGCTTACCAGGAAAAATTACAAAAAAAAATCAACAAGGACAAAAATCTTTTAACTGTTCATAGCTAGGGTTGTGGAAAGTGGCTCACAGCTGCAAAGGCAAGCAAAGGTTTTCCTCATAGCCAGTCTCACATTCAAAAGAAACAGAGACCCTTAAAAAAAAACTTTCTCATGTATATCAGACGACCTTTCTATCAAATATAAATGCAGCATGTCTCTAGAAAGGCATACTAGGTATTTTATAGAACAAGTACAATAAGACTCTCAATTTTAGGGCATCCATGCTTAAGAAATATGAAAATGTTAACAATATGTTTAAAAGTTCCCTTTTCTTTCATATTTCAACCCGTTTTCTTATCAGTGTGTGAGAGGTGATGTAATTCTCTGCAGGCAGGTATTTCTCTGCATAACAGAGTGGTGAGTGTGAAATAGTGGACAAATTGCAAATATTTTTTTGGAAAGTAAGCTTGAAAGAGCGATGCAAACAGCAGCTTTCAAACAGATTGTGCACAAAGAGAAATGGGCCAGTGCATGCTCTTGCACGCATTTAATAGGCGTTCCCTCTTGGGAGCGTGCACAGGGTTGTTTATGTGTATTTTTTTTTAAGTGTATAGGGCGGGTCTTTCCAAAAATGCGTGAAAATCCTCCACTATACCTTTAAGTAATAATTTAAATGTCAGTTATTTAAATCTAACAAGGGACTACAATAAAATAGGTGAAATATTATGGTTGAAGCACCAATAACTCTAGTGTATCAATTTGTTTTTTAAATAAGCGGATTATAAAGAATTAGGCCTACTTAATGTCTATCTATCTATCTATCTATCTATCTATC